GATGAAACTAAGCACCTTAGTAGTATGGATTGTACATACGGAGTACAAGTGACGACAGTTCAAGGGACTGGAACCTTCAATCGTATTCCCTTTAGTGGCTAATCCCCCCTGACGTTTAATGCTTACAGTGGGTTACTTCAACACGCCACAGGCGCTAGAAGAACCGCCACGTTAGCGCGCCAGCCTTTGTCTCAACTACCAACGTACCTACTCAGGCTCAAGTTGCTCCCGTCTGTTTCTTGAATTCAATCCACACCAGTGCCATTTGAACATCATTTCGGACTTCACCCTTTGATGATTCCCCTGTTTTCAACTCCTGACGTACCTCTACGACCTCGAATACGCCCCCAACATTCCCCTCAAACTTACGAACACACGATATCGACCGTTACCCCTCTGCAAAAGCCACCCACGATCCTCCTGCCCGCTTTGCAACATTGATTTACACCTAACTCCAACCCCTACCGTTCATATCAGGGCCAGCCTACGTCAAATCTGGTCAATTTCTCTACTTTCCATCTCCCATCAACTGTGACGCCTATATTATTAGCCCTCTTCAAATACGATACTTTCTTTCGCCTGTAGTTTGCCTCGCAACACTCGCCAACAAACGAGCACGCCTTACCGATCGTCACATTCACAACTATCACGATTCTAAGTCGCATTCTCGACCTGGGCACCTTTTCCATCGATCCTCAAATACCAAACATAACGCCAAACTACTTACCAGCCGTTCTATTTGAGGCCACTACTCACCACGACCAGGCGATTCTCAAGATCGCACTCTGCTTGTCGAGGGCCCTGTGGTCTACACTAGGCGATGCGGCGGGGAGGGAGGACCTCGTGAACTAAATCTTATCTGGGGATCGAGGTCGGAAGTGCCAATTGTTTTTATTGTCGAAATAGTTGTGCTGGATCAAAGCCCATGCTGTACGATTGAAGCCATTGTCTGTTCTGCCCTTCTCTACTAGCGCCTCCAAGTCCCCTCCGTCTCTCGATTTACCTCTTCCTATCCTTGTTAGTTGAGCCACCAGCCCTCAATCTACAGTCAGTCGGCGTTCTCTGCACCTAGAATTGGGACATCATTGTCTAATCAGACCTGACCTGGGAATGGATTCCAGATTTCCAGTCTCTCGCGAAGATCTGTACAGTCTGCAGATGGAAGTGAAGCAAGTACAATATACTCAGAGCAATCATGCTGAACGGCTTCTTCGATTGGAAAAGAAACAGGCGGATGATGCAGCATTGAAGTCTGTCTGGAACTCTCCCTTTCCAGGTGTCTTGAGTGGCACACCTCAAACAGGTGAGTTCTCAGCCTGTTGACATTTTGATCATTCCCTTACAGATTTTAGGACCTGTTTCCATTCCACACAATGACATGTTCGATGACTTGGATGAGCAAGGTGAGGAGCTCCTAGGGTCTCTTCATCTTGGACCAGCAGAGGAAGAGCCGGTCCGTCGAGGCGCTGCTTCGCGGGCTAATAGTGTTCGATTCGACGAAAGCGCCCTGCACGGATCCAGTTGGGGAGGCCCAAGTAATCGTCATTCGGGGGAGTTTGGCCCTGTTCGTCCCGGAAGTGGCCTTATGATGGAGCGTTCTTTATCTCACAAGTCGGATGGACGACACAGTTCTGCTGGACATTCAGTTCACTCTCATCACTCCATTGCTTCTGGTCGGGCTAGCAGCTTGGGCCTTGATAACAACTTTGCTGTTGGCGACGACGATGATGATTCGTTCGACATTCCTGGCCCCCCTGCGGCGTTTTATGTCCTCGGGACTGTCCCTTCGATCGTTCGATGTTGGTTAACCCCTAACTTTGGCCATTCAACACTCCTCTACGCCGACGTTTGCAGTGGTTCGCAAAAGTCCACGGTTGAGTATTCTCTCCTCAGAGAATTGGATCTTGTAGATCAGATCCATCGCGAGGTTGACGGTGCATATCGCGTTAGGTTGAATGTCTACTTTGCAGAGGCTGTGGTGACACATCATGGCAGTCGCTCTAGTAGCCCTCACGGGCCTGTTCCTTCAATCACTGTCTTTTTCGAGGTCCTTGGAGTGGCAGAGCAGCCTATTCAGGCCGTAGATCGCAAAGCAATTCGAATCTACTTGGGTAGCGATGCTCTCAGAGCCCATTCCGCAGATATTTTATTTTCTCAGAATACTATGACCCTTCGTGGCGACGAGCGAGAGCGACTTCAGGTCCCCTTCGTCCGACCAGAGGATGAAAACGTGTTTCGGAATATTTGCACCACCAACATGGTCCCAGAGAAGCCCAAGTTGAATGCAAACGCTGCTCCTTTCGTCTCTGGGGATTTCAGCCAGGCCAGCCAGGAGAGTATCACTGACACGGAGGCTCCTCAGCAGGATTATGAGTCTCGAAGCGAAATGTCGCCAATGGCAACTGACGCGGTTCTCAATAAGCGACCCAGCTCCAGAGGCAGTGTGTCCGGCGCTGAGAGTGAGAGAAGGTCTCGTGGACTCACCAACGGAGACCAACTAGGTCCTAAGGAGCGCGCTGCTGAGCATTCCGCCCCCGAAGGCTCCAGACGAGAACCCACTTCAGGGATTTGGGGATCATGGCGCCATGGATCAGGGAATGGAGTGGACGGCCCGCACAGAGATGGTTCATTGAGTGGATATCAACCTGCCGGTCGAGGCCGCAACATGAAAGTTCTGAAGCCCCAGAAGTCGGCCTCGAGGACAGTTTCTTCTTATGATGCCTCTTCGTCCAAAGGTCCGGGAGATGGTCGACGCAAGAGTCAAGTCAGCGTTGGGGAGAACGGTGGCACTCCTGCCAATAGATGGGAGGCTAAGCGTGCGGTGAGTATGAGCAGCGAACACAAAACGCAATCGCAGTCACAGTCGCTTCCACCTCCAAGTCGCGATGGTCGCAATGCCAACACCAACGCCAATAGCAACAATTCCCTGCCTAGGTCTGTCAACCCTGTAGGAGTTGCTTCAGCATTCTCGTGGATGACACCAACATCCAAAGCCAAAACAACAGCGGGCTCCGAGTAATGTGTTTGGATGGCTTGCCATTAGCCCTTTCTTTATCAGTCGTATAGACTTTCATGTCCCTTGAAGTTCACTCTCTAGTCTATGGAGACCAAGAATGGGCAGACTCGAAGAAATGCAGCATCACAATGATCCGGTTATTCGGGTTTCTTAAACAGGATTGATAACGACGACTGCGACTTGATGTAACAAAACAAACCAAACCAAAACAAAACAGAAAATAAGAAAACAAATAGAGGCAAAGGGCGATTTGATGCTTTGCTAGAAAAGAAAAGAAGGGGAATTGACAGCAATGATGTTTGTACTATGCAAATGTATGTCTAATCTATCATTAAAAAAGTATGTATGTCACTACGCTTAGATCTTGGATCCAGGAGGCAAGGCTTGCCAAACCTTTCTGGTGTCTGCAATTGACTCCTTGACAACACCAATGAGTCCCTTGAAAGCAGGATGTTGCGAATCTCCCACACATTCATACATCCAGCTCTCGCTCGACGTGACCGTGATTCCGGGCTCGGCACGCAATCGATCGAGGGCAATGTCGACTTCGCGAGGATTACAGCTCGATACTCCATCAGCAATGACATATACCTTATGCCCTGCGTCGCGCAAATCGAGCGCTGTCTGGGTAATGCAGATATGAGACTCAATGCCGACAAGAGCGATTTCGGAACCCTGAGGTAGATCGGCGGTGATGGAGGGAATGGACATGGAGAAACGTGTCTTGTCGTGTGGTGACGAGGGGAGGAGCTGCGCCAGAGCTGAGACTGTGGGACCAAGCTTGGCTGAGGTTTGGGTCGTGGTTACAACGGGAACGGAGAGAGTGTTTGCGAATTTGAGGAGCTTTTGGGTGGTGAGGACGCTGAGGTTGATTAGCTAGCTGAGTGGCGTCAAATGAACTGGGGCTGCCATACATGCTATCGAATTCGTGAATGACATGGCGAAACTTTTCCTGAATATCGCAAACGCTATACCACTCTTGATTAGATGCTTCTGCCAGATCGAAAGCAATGATATACATACAAGATCCTTGGGTTCTCTGGCCGCCGTAAGTTAGCATCTCTGTTCCTTGTTTGCGGCCCATATCAGATCATAGTACTAGGTCAGATACTTACTGAACCGCAGCTCGTTTTGCGCTGGTGAAGACATGGCGCGAATCTGGTGTAACGTAGAGCCAGGAGCAGGACGAGACACGGCAGTGCCTTCTAGAGATGTGCTAGCCAACCTTGATGTTGCTGAATTACTGATACCTGCTGCCGCAGCCCGCGAACCTATAGCCAGCCGAGATAACCAACGTCGAGAAATGACAGTCGAGAGAAGTTGCATAACGAGATCGTAGAACGAAGATCAAGGGAGGACTCATCAATCCAAGAAAATGAGCAAAAATAGGAACGTATAGATTAAGTAAGTTCCAGTTCTATGGTTAAGATCTCAATTGCAGGAGAAAATAAATTAAAATCGGGATCTGAGACATTTGGAGGTGGTCGAGTTTGTGGAGGCCTGGAGGGTGACTGTGACTGAGATGAGGGACGGGATAGAAGTTAGCCGCAGCGCGGGGGAAGGGCAGTGGAAAGTGGGGGTGATCGACAGGCTGTTGTTGCATTAGGTTAATTAGTTAAGGTAGCAGTTTGACCAGCTGAACCCTAAGAGCCTAGGCCTAGGTACTTTAGTAGTGACCTCGGGTCCCAAATGCCATGGAGAGTCACTGGCAATCATGTCAATTGTCTCTTATCAGGCCCATTGCATTCATAATCTGGTGCTAGGCAAAAATTGACTCGTCTGAATAATTGAGTCAAGCTACTAAATGTCTCTAAAGTGAAGTGATTTTGTCCACAGCCTAGTCTAAACAATGCTTGCCCCTGTTCTATAGAGAATTATCACTACATCGGATTATGTACTCCCCGAACGCCAGTATATGCAACCATCTATCGCCACCCAATGCCTTTCCCCCAACCTATCCAGAGACAGAGAACCCATCTTTCTCCTAGGCGTTGACTTCAGCGAACCAGGTTCGTAAGAGACCAGCCAGGGCGCTTGGCAACTCTTCAAGATGATGGACGATTAGGTAGTACTGGAATGGGAACGTGTCCAGATATCTTTCGATGACGACCTTGCTTTCTCCGCCTTCCCGAACAAACTTGGCCTCCTTCAGCTCAAGTACGCTGTCGCCCTTCTTCTTGCCCGTATCATCCATGATGATAAACACAATCATGATGCGCTCCTCCATCGCCTCCCGCAGCATTCGTCGGATGCCCTCGTGGGCTGATGAAGGCGTAAGGCCGTCAGAGAGAATCAGTGCCAATTGCCAGAGATCTGAATTGCCGCTGCCCTTTTGTCGTGCAAGTCTGAACGTTTCGATGGTCCGTTGGATGAGAAGTGCAATATCGGTACGATCTTGAGAAAAGTTGAACTTCTGCAACACCTTAGCTCCAGCATCTGCAGCAAAGGGCTCTGTTAAGCCATGGGCTGTGAAAACATCACTTCCAAAGCCCATGACGCCAACCTGGCCAGCTTCCAGCATGGTAAGAGATCGTGATACCATGACGAGAGACTCCATGGCAAGAGTGCCTGATGATGTTTCGCCCATACTCTTACTATCATCCACACAAAGCAGTATCTGGTAGGTACGTTTGGTCGGGATGCTGCGTCGCATCCAGATCTTATCCCGCTTGTAGCTCGATGCAATGTAAGGGATTATGCGTTTGATGTTGAGTCGTTTTCCGGTACGGAAAGCTCCCGAGAGTTTGGTCGATTGTGAAGGGGTAAGGATAAGCCGGAGTTGGGATGTCAAAGCCAAAGAGAGTGAATGTGTTTTGGTCTGGAATTCAGCCCACTGTTGCATCGACTCGCCGAGATCTCGTAGTGGCCGTTCTTCATCCGAGATGTGAGTTGAAGAGAGCTGAGTCGATGTCTCCTGAATCTCGGCCTCATCTTCTTGTTCATCCAATTGCGCCTCCTGATCCGAAGGACTGAGCTCACGGTCATAGTTGCCTTGGCGTGTCTTGACCCCCGAGCGCGTTTCGTCCTGGTCATTATCTGCATTTTGCTTACTGGCATCCGGCGCCTCTCCTGAATCAGCTATGTCCATCTTATCGGGATCCTGCTCGGTCTCTACTTTATCATCGTCCATAAGGCGGCTTGTAGGATCTTGCCTCTCCTCATCGATAGCCATGGACTCGTCGATGGGCTGTACTTGCTCATCATCAGCAGTTCCCATGGCCTGGGTGTCTGTAGCAGTCTCATCGTCCTGTAAATGCTGGAATTCCTTACGGCCCTGATCGGCGCTCGGGTCTTGTGGTGCGTTTTGTTCATTAGTGTCTGAAGACTCAGCGTCCTTGATGTCTTCCTGTTGTCGATGCCAGCGTTCAAGGGCATCGCCGAGCTTCTTGAAAGGATCACTGCGTGCCGAATCCGCCCTTTCCTGTTCCTGTTCGGCCCTATCCATAATCTCCTTTGATTGCGAGGTTGACCCCTTGTTCCCTGCGCTTGTGTCCTGATCCGCAGCTCCCTCTCCCATCTCTCCATCCTCCTGCTGGGCAGCGTTGCTTTGGAAGTTATCGTCGACATCCATCGAGTCAGCATTCTGATCCTGGCCAGAACTCTTGACATCGCTTGGTGCAGCGTTGTCGGTATCAGCGGTAGCGTTATCTTGAGGCGATTGATTCTGATCTGTAGCATCTTCCTGATCCTTGTCCTCTTCGTCTTCCTCAGGTTTGGCCTCCTCGTCGACTTCATCCCTGCCACCGGCCTTTTCTTCTGGCATGTCTTCGTCTTCCCGTATTTCGGTCTCTTCTCCGGTCTCTTCTTGAAGCTGGGCTTGGGCCGCAGCGTCATCTGATCCATCTTCCTCTTCTTTACTCATCTCCTGATCCTCTCCCTCCTTCTTCTCTTCTTCGATATCCGAAAGACCATCCAAGTCATCGCTATCTGACGCCGACTCATGATCGTCATCGAGATCCAACTCCATATCCTCAGGAAGCGCCAGTGTATCATTCTCTTGGGCGGTTTGATCTTGCTTATTCATTTCCTCCTGGGTTTTGACGTCTTCTTCTTCGGCGCCAGCGTCCTCTTCCTCTGCGTCTTGTTCACCAGAGTCGTCAACATCTGGCTGCTCCTCGCCCTCTTGTTTCTTCGCATCTTCATCTGCTGCCATTTGCTCGTCGTCCTTCTTCTGGCCTTTGGCCTTTTCACCCTGCTGGTCTTTATCGGCCTTTTCTTCGTCCTCTCCATCCCACATCTTCTCATCAACGGCAGTGGGATCTAGGTCATCGACCTCTCCAGCTTCTTCATCCATATCGTTCTCCTCCTCCTCCTCCTCTCCATTCTTCGACCCCTCATCATCATCGTCGGCCCCATCGACACTGCCCATGTCACCTTCAAGCTCTTCATCAGCCATATCCACCGCGTCCTTTTCATCTTCCATTTCGCCATTCTCCTCCTTGCTGGCTTCTTGGGCAAGCTCGGACAAGTCCTCATCGGGCTGAATGTCCTTGCTGATGTCTTCGGCCCCTTCACCGTCACCAAGACCAGTTCCTGACTCCACTTTACCAGATTCGCCAGAAGTTTCATCAGACTTTTCTTGTGGTGTACAGAACCCTTGAGACGAAATTTGTGTGAACGTCTTGGTCATGTTATAGGACATATGTGCTATGGCGCTGTGGATGTCGACAACTTGCATCAAGGTCTGCTGAGCGAGATCAACATACTCATTCAGGACAGGACATGCGATCGTCATGAGACTCATGGCCGCTTGGCTGAGATTCGGTTCTTCGAGATGAATCTGCTTCAACATCTTGATACAGCTGGCCACACTCCTTTCGATCTCGGCAGTACGGAGTTTTGTAAAGAGATTTACGAAGCCGTTGACGTGACCGGTGAGCCAAGCAGGTTCGTCCTCTCTATAATCAGTTCCCTTTGCGGCTTTCTTCACGCTCTCAATTGCGACCAGGATTTTGTCGCAAAGTGTCGAGACAGCATTTGCAAAAGTGGTGATTTCCATGTCAGATGTAAGGCTAGGTGTGGCTTCTCTTGTAATCTTGGTCCAGCCAACAATTTGGACAAGAATGAAGGAGAGTTCCGGCTGTTCCGCATTCAGCTCTTCGAGGTCGTCGCGGAAACTAGCCAGTTCACTCGAGAAATTCGCCTCAGCACGAGCAGCTGCTTCGGAAGACACACCGTCTGGAAGCTGACTGATCCCAGGATATAGAGAATGAAGAGACGCGAGTCGTCCATGCCACGACTTCAGCTGCTCTATCGCCGCCGTGTGCTTCATCCCACCCAGCTTCTCATGGATTTCAACCAAATGAATGGCATGCTGAAGAATCTGAACAAGCCAAGAGTTAAGACGTTTCCAGTCAGAGATTGCTGTCTTACGAATGAGAAGTCCATGCTCTTGAGAAAGCCCAAGGTGGCTGAATTGTTTTATGGATTGTTCGAGAAGTGATAAGGAGGAGGCACCAGATGTGATCGAATGTCTCTGAGTCAGTAAAAGGTTGAGCATTCCTTCAACAAATCCAGCACTTCGCGCAACCTCGGCACTGGTAAGATCCTCAGAATGGTCTCGAGAAGCAGCCCTGACCTTGGGGATTAGATCAAGAATCTTGTGCAAGTAATAGTCCATGGCTTCGGTAGAATTGTCGGAAGGAAGTTTCACGGGCTGTATTGACGACAGCACAACTGAAAGTGATGCCTGCTCCGCAAGCTTGTCTTGTCCTAGGTTGTGCTTGAACCCCATTTGCCGGAGATCGCGCAAGGTATCTGCAAACAGTTTCCTTTTTCTTGTCTTCAAATGTTTGACTTGGTCCTTGTTCTCATCAGTCAAAAACGGCGGTGTCTCTTTGCGAAGCTCCGCCATTGAGTCGCTCAGACTAGAGACGTAGTCATCAACAATTTGAGGTACCTGGCTTGTCATCTCTGGATTGTCTGAGATCTTTCGCATGACCGAAACAGTTTTAGAGACGTTGGCAAGGCGCTTGTGGCCATCGGTCCACCCTGGCAGAGCGTTGTTAAGCTTAGAAAACACGTCCGCAGAAACACTCATAATAGGAGATTTATCTCCTACACAATTTGCGTGGTGGACGTCTTGATCAGGTAAACCTTGTTCAATAATTTGTTTTGCTTCCTGACCAAGGACACCGCGGAACTTTCTGATGATTCGGAAAAGTTTCTGGTGAGACTTGCGAGCACTTTCCCGGAGTGCATTGATATTTGTGTCTTTCCAGCTTGCCATTAGCAGTACGTCCTTCATCTTCTTCTCAATGGGAAGGCGTCCTTTGCAGATAGTTTCATCCATAATCTTCTCGTAGCGGGAATAGTACTGGATGAAGTTGGACAGCGCATGCAAAATAAGTTGAAGTACTGGGTAGTCTTCGGTCAATAGCTGGAGATGGCTGTGAAGTTGACGCAGCAGTGCCAGACGAGCTCCATACTGACCAACTATTGCTGTCGAGAAGTACATCTCCAGACTTGAGATGAGAGAAGAAGCATATTCCTCCAATTCGTCGGTAACCTCGACCAAAGACAGAGGCACAGCGATAACAACTTGATAAGCAACGAACCACCAAGAGTAAGCATCATCTTGACACTTCTTCTGTTCCATATCAAAGAGATTGGCCCAAGTCGAGAGTTCCAATCGTCGCCAGCGGATGACCGTATCCGTAAGCAGGTTATGAAGAGTGAGAACACCATATATTTTACTAGCCCAGCCGCCGAATTGCCATTCGTATACGTGGCTGTGGAGGTATTCAACCTTGGGAAGAATCTTGGCCAAAGGTTCCGTATGAACAAGTTCGAGGACCTGTTCGCAAGCATGAATGACATCAGCCAAGGGCTGCATATGTCCGATTTCGTCGACCATTTGCAGCTCCCGGAACCGAGACTTTATTTTGTGTATGAGCACAACGAGCTGGCGGGCTTCAGGAACGTTGGCATCTGTGTAGAAGTTGTAAGATTTGTCCACGGTGGGTGATACAAGAGAATCAAGCTTGTCATTCAGGTAGAACATGGTTCCGGCCAACATCTTACTTGTCAGACTACGATCAATGTTCTTGTGGTCGATGGTCTCTGAGGTAATCCTGTCTCCCACAGATTTATAGGCATCCTTCAAAGCCGTAGCAAATTGCGGCGGGTTGAGGAAGAGGCTCTTGTGAATTTCAGCCACTCGAAGCGACTGATCCCGGACTTCATCCGGCTTCTTGTTGGGTGGGACATTTGCGGCTTCGTCTTCGTCGAAAGTCGGAAACAATTCATTGAACTCCTGAGCATCAACTTGCTCCTCATCTTCCAGAGAACCTCGAAAGCGATACAGGCTCCCCTTGGCGGTTTGTTCTTTGCGGTCTGCTTCAAGTCGCTTAGTCCATTCGTCAAACAGATTGTGGAAACTCCTGAACACCATCTCGCGGGCTTGTTGTTCAATATTGCCGATGCCTTCAATGCTTGCAACCACTGACATGTAGTTGAGAAACTCAAATGTTCTGGACGAAAATTGTCCATCCAGTTGATTCCACATGCTACCACCAAGGAAAGGAGTAACTTCGAGAAGCTGGTAAGAAGCAGGTGCCAAGCTACGGGCTGAAGCAGCGTCACAAAGGGAGAGCCCTATCATGAGACAACGAAGCAGGTTTGACGTAGGCCGAGTCATGTCTTGATATGCCTCAAAACGAGCAGAAAGTCGATCCAAGAGTCTGAGGACATTTTCCTTGACAAGCTGCAACTCCTCGGTTGCTCGGGCCGGATCCTTGTCGAGAATTTGAAGTGCCGCGGACAATGTAGGACCTGTGACTGTTTTTAGAACGTTTGAGAATTCAGCGTGGATGCGGTTCAGCTCTGATTGATCTGGTCTGTAGATAGGGCGGACCTCTTCAGGAAGGGGGCCCAAGGCCGCAGACTCTGCTTCGAGCAATCGAATGCGTTCATTCGTGTCTTGTCCAGTGAAATGCTTCTCGAATGCCCTCAGCGAGTCGGCTTCCACATCGACGGCAGTATGCATCTCTTGAAGGAATTCGCGCTCCATCTTGGGTCGACTTTGCGGATCAAAAACGCGATCCGGAACGTACAGCTTGACGGTTCCGATGCTGAAATGAATCCATGCAAAGGCTGAGAGTTGGGCCTCTTGTTGAATATCGTATCGTAGAGTTGTAAGAGCCTTAAGAGCCGGGATAAGATGCTCGACTGCAATTTCGCGGAAGTGGTTTGTCTCGATCCGGGCTGCCAGATCATCGAAAGCACGAGAGCTGCGGGCAAGGTCTTGGGAAGCCAGCTGGGCGGCCTCAATAACAGCATCCTTGAGACTCTGATCATGGGCACTGAATACTTCGAGGACAAGCTGAGACAGAACATTGTTGAGCCGTTTCAGGGGGTTTGCCACCACATCCGCACTCAGTCTCATGATCTGTCGCCCAGCGATTGGAAGCTCGGCTTCAAGAAGAGCCAATGAGCCAAGATTGACAGATCCTAGGTTTTGCAGCTTATCCCAGAGACAAGAAACAAATTTGCCATCCCAAGAGAATTTGTTCTGGTAGACCAAGTTCTCCACCGATTGAAGAAGCGCGGCTTGGAGATTAGAGCTGGCCAACATCATCCCTGCCTGTGTAGGTATATTGGACAACACTTGAAGCTCTGTGTCACCCGAGGGCAGAGATTTGAGCATTGAAATCTGGCGGAGTGCTTCAAACTCTTCCATCATAAAAGGCTTACGTTCAACCTCGTCGACCCCGATCCGACTCTCCAAAGACTCTATTTCAGTAGCAAGGTCCTGTAGGAGGCTGTCGACATTAGGAGCGTCCTCATGGAAAATTCCAGAAGCCTTTTCCAGCGTAGCCATAGCTTTTGTGAGATCGGCAATTGATGCTCCAGCCTTCCATCGCAATGAATCGAATCTTGAGCCTAGTTTCTCGAGTTCTATTGTGCGATCGAGAATCATCTTTGTAGGCAAAGGAGTGGGTCTAAAAATGTGCCAAAGCAACTCCATGCTTAGACCAGTTGATAATTTGAAACCAGCAGTAAAGTCTTTGCCCAGTCGCTCGATTAGCAGAGAGACAAATTCCGTTTCTTGAGACCCAATCGATGTATCCAAATGTTTCTGAAGGAAGTTTGCACCTTGAGCAAGGTGTGCTTGAAACTTTGCTTCGTCAAAGTCGGATTCAATACCAAGCTGCACGGTCCTCTTGAGATAGCGCACGATGCCCCTTAAAATGCGGACTCGCTCCGTCCATTTTTCGAGGGACTCAAATTTGAAGCCGAGCCATTCCTTTGCCGTGTTGATTGCAAAAAGCAAGAAGGAAGCTAGCTTGACGGTGGCATCCTTGGACACGGCGGCGACGCGGTCACTTATCAGTGATCTTTGGAGTCGGTTGAGAGCAGTCAACTTGTTGACCTGAGCCTGACATCGCTGGCCCTCAATTGAATTCTGCAGACGATATAGTTCATGATAAAACTCCAAGCATGCACCAAGCCATCGTGCTTGGTCTGGTGCAGATAAAAGTTGGGAGATGGGGAAGTTGTTGAGAGGATGCAATGGTTGCGCAGGTTTGAGTCCCTCAGGAATGGGCAAAGAGCTATATAGATGAGAAATCCTATTGACACCATCAGCCCCATTACTTGAGTTCAGGAAGCTGAGCAATTCGGTCACTGCAGAGCTTAATGCTCTGCTGTGTGTGTCATGGTTAGATAGAGTGCCTGTAAACCGAGGCAGAACAGGCAAATCAGCAATTGAGAGTGTCTCCAGAGCCCGCTCGATGACCTCAACAGATTCCCCAGTGTTAAGAACAGTATCGGAAATCTGGTGGGAGATGTTGTATCTTTGAAGGCTACTCTCTACACTCACAACGCGGTGGTAAGATCGGTCAAGGGATGGTGGTGGTGTGTGAATGTGAATTTCAACAGCGCGGTTTCTCATGGCGCGAGAGAGTTCGCCGTAGCGTGGGTCCATCGTCAAAAAGATCCTGAAGTCTGGATGAGGGCGTACGACTCTTGGCTCTCCACCGGGTCCGCAATGCTCATTGATACTCAAAAATCCATTCGGTTCGAGGAGAGAATTCAATCGATCCAGTACTGAGGCGTTACACATGTTCGCGTTATCAAGAACCAACCATTGACCTAACTGTAGGGCATTGACGATAACACCATCCAACCATTCGAAACGGGGATTCTCTAGCACTAAAGAATGCTGGAGGGGGGTAAGCGCCTTCGATAATGCAATTGCCACCTCAGAGTCTGCAGGTACACTGCCAAGTAGGTGTTTTACAGAGGTGGTGATCCGGGGAAGGGAGTCAACGTCGCCAGTAAATCCATCGAGCAAATGAAGTAGATGAAGGGCTTCGATTGGAATATCATCAGGCACGGCCGACATGACAGTATTCTGAAGATCCCGCTGAAGGGCCCGGAGTGCCGCGTTGACCTCCCGGAGAGGGTCCGCCTGCTCGAAGCCACCGACAAGATCCATCGTGTCGACGTCAGCGTTCATTGGAAACACCACAAGCGACTTTCCGGCCAAAGCCGCAACATGTTCCAGAAGAACGGTTTTACCATAGCCTGACGGACTGCTCAAGATACAGGGAACATTCTGTTTGACGCAAATCATGATTGACTCGAGCTCAGACAGCCGAGGGACAATATCAATATTGGGTAGTCGTTCTGGCTGTGAATGAGGGTGTCTGTCAAGTAATGCCAAACCGACTTGTCCGAATAATGGGTTAATATCATGATACAAGCTATGTCGTCTTGGCAAAGACCCAGAGATGAGAGTAAAGAGGTCGTTGACCTCCTTACGATCTCGCTCCGTTCTGAAACGCTGTCGCACAATAATATCGAGGAAGTCGTCAGCGTAGGCGTTCTTGAGCAGCGGATCAGACGAGTCTAGAAGTTTTAACCAGCGAAGCACATCGCGTAGGTTGAATTCCCAAGGGCTCCCTTGAGTTCCGAATGACTTCTCAACTGCAAGCTTGTGATCCAGCTGAGACACAAATTGGATAAGTTGGCTGATCACTGATGGAGAGATCTTGGGGTGGTTGTGTGCTGCGATCAAGTTCAGATCATCGTCCGAGAAGACGTCAGCGTACACAACGATAAACCGATTAACGAAGGAGGCAGGCAAGCCCTTTCGACCACCGCCTTGATGGTGAGGGTTTTGGGCTGCAAATAGGCGGAAGTCTGGATGGCGTTTGAAGACTTGGTCTAGCTCGGAGATGTAAACTTCGCCTCGATGATCGAGACAGGCGTTCAGCCCTTCCAGGACAGACTGAGATGCTAGATTCATTTCATCCAAGAGTACCCATTCGCCCTTCTGCATAGCCTGCAGAAACGGCGCGTCTCTCCAAGCAAAATTACCAGCTTCTGCTCCTTCGACTGGGACGTCTGTACCAAACAAATCCATCAAATCAGTTTGGTCAGACAGATTGATTCTGGTCAATGGCTGCCCACATGCCTGAGAAAGAGCGGCAACCAGAGTCGTCTTTCCTACACCAGGGCTGCCTTCGAGAAGAATTGGTTTCTGCATTTGCAGTGCACGAAGGACTCGCATAGCGTTCAGACGAGTGGTGGGTGCATGGAAAGCGAAACCAGGATCAGCGACGGCTGCGGAAGAACGGGGTATGCTGAAGTGCCCGATTGTCAGAGAACTACTATCCATGGAGAGCTCCGGATGAGTCTCGTAAACGCCAGACACATCCTTGCCGATGAGTTCGGTTAGCTTGTCAAGGCACTTCTGGCGCTGTTGACCCAGAGACTTGGGATCTGTGGCTAGAAGAGCAGAAGGGTTCGCACCTATGCTATCAATAAAGATTGTAGAGGCACCATGAACCAATGAAACAATAGGCTCATCGGACTGAAAGGTATTTATAAATTGTACCCAGACGAGAATTTCTCTGACGGAGAATGGTGCTGAAGCCATAGATCTGAAGGTATCGCCAAACCAAGCAGCGAACTTGACCACAACTTCAACCAGTTGCTTGGAGTCGCCATGAAGCTTTGTTTTAACAATCTCACAGATATCCTCGGTCTGAGACAAAGCTGGAACCCAGATCTCGGTGAATCGGTTTCGCAACGCGGGCGACAGTTCCTTCTTTCCGAAGTCGCCACCAGGATTCATAGTAGCGAAGAACTGGAAGCCATCTGCTCCGACAACAAAAGAGTTGTCTATGCCCTTCTCGGCCAAAAGAAGTGTCCTCGAGGGCTCGAGTACAGAGTTCAGACGCTCCAGTACTGAGTCGTCGGCCAAGGAAATTTCATCCAGAAGGAAGAAATGGCCTTCTCGCATGGCCTCAACCAAGCTTCCGTCAGCCCATTCGAATAGGGCCTTACTTCGCGTCTCATTTGCGGCGATACGTTCTTTAACCTCCTGAGGAATATCGCTGGTGACTGAAAGATCCAGTGCTTTGTATCGAACAAGGCGATCGTCTACGGAGCCAGAGACATCCAAGCCGAGGCTTTGCAGAACCCACTTCAAATCCACATCCAAAGCATCAACAATAGCTCCACGATTACGGACAGGTCTTTGTGAACCAATCAAATCACCAGTCTCAGTATTCTGGTGAGCGTTGACGATATGAAGTTCTTTCTTCAATGCCTCCGCAAGCAATTGAACAACTGTTGTCTTTCCGCAACCTGTCTCACCAACCAGAAGGACGGGCTCATTGTTGCGCAACGCCCGAGAGACAAGAACATAGAGTCGGCGCATTGCATGCGTCCATACCACGCCTTGCCCATTGGGTTTGCTGGTGAAGTCCTTCAGTTCAGGGGCCACTGTAGCGGAATACAGGTCTTGGGGATTGATCTTCACTTTAAAGACCTTTTCAATGACCTCCTTGACTGCGATACGCTCCTCTTCATTACGGACTCTTTCGGCCAATAGCATAAAACCATGAGCAGCAATCTCCTCGCGGGTATCAGCCTCTCTCAATGCCCAGCGGAACAAATCACGAAGTGTCGCAAAACTGTCCTTCTGCTCGAATAATCGACTGGTTTGGCGAAGCCTGGAGAGTTCCTTATAGACATTGACAATTCTGCGGCAATCCGGAGGAGAGGTGTTGCGGCTTCGTTGCTGGAGGATAAACTCCAACTCGTCTTCCGGAATATCATCAAAGTGTAATTCCAAGAATCGATTACGGAACGCTCTTGAGAGTACCTTTCTTCCACCGTAAAGACCAGGGGGATTTTGAGTAGCAAACAAGATGAAGTTATCGTGAGGTTTGACAATTTCTTGTGTTTCGGGGATCAGAAGTTCACGGTTGTCGTCCAGGAGACGATTCAGGGCCTCGAGGACGTCAGTCGGTGCTAAATTCAGCTCATCGAGTACGATCCAGTGGCCTTGACGCATTGCTTGAACGAGAATACCTTCTTGGAAACGGAGCTTGCCATCAGAACCCGAAACGTAGGTGCCCAGGTATTCTTGAAGATCGGTGTGTTCGTGATTGTTGATTCGCACGAACTTGTTACCAGTAAAGTTTGCGAGGTATTCGATCATACTCGTCTTTCCGGCAGAAGTAGGGCCTTGAATCAGAATGGGGAAACGTCTTGTAGAAGTGGCTCGGACAAGGTTCAGGAGGTTGCGCTCAACGTAAGGGGTAATGATATAGTCTTCCCGCTCAATAGGGGTTTCGCTGCCCTGGAACAGCCAGTACTGTCTGTCTCTGTTCTTGTTCTTGAAACGAACATATTGCTTTCCGTCATTTGGGTGTTTCGGGGCCTGGGAAAGTAAAGACTGGGAGTTTCCATGTTTCTCGAAAAGGTGGTGGGATATTAGGGGAACAAGCATCTTTTCAGACTCTCGGTCAAGGAGGGTAAGGAAGCCCATTGAGAACCCCTCATACAAAGCCCTTCTAACACCATAGTAGGGAGAGATAGTGTTCACATAGCTGAGAACTCGTGTAAGGGTTCGAAGACTGAAATGAGGTACTTCGTTCGCGCCATCGACTAATCGTTTCTCCTCAGCCAGTCGCTTGGTGTTGATATATAGACGGGCAATATCATCTGCCGCTTGATCATTCTTGCTGTTGCTACTTCCCAGGTATGTCTTGATGATTGTGAGAAGATCCTTGAGGTCTTTGTCGGGACTCGAAACATAGACTTCAGTGAATCTGGAGCGAATGCCTACTGGGAGGTCGCGTTTTCCAACATCGGTCGCAGGATTCATCGCACCGAAAATGCGGAAGTTTGGATGTGCTTCAATTTTCTCAATCTCGCCAGTTTCGGAGAGTAAAATGGATGGTCTTTCGTCAGGTCCGGTCAGGAGATCGGCAATACTCTCAAGCGTGTCAGGCGATGCGAGATTTATCTCATCAAGAAGAACCCAGTCACCGTTCCGCACGGCCTTGACTAGATTTCCCTCCATGAAAGAGAAAGCAAAACTTCCAGAGCCTCCAGAGATCTGTACATCAAACTGCTCAAGACTACGGGCAAACATATCCCATCTTGGACGTAGATCGAGCAGGGCCTGGAGCTTTGACTGGGTTTTTCGACGTTTTGTCGGTTGCTCGTCACCATTCCTGGTCTCTGCTTGTTCAGTTTGAACTTTCTCGAGCTCTTTGACGATCTTGTTGAACATTTTGGGAGCTTCTTTCCACAGCTTTGACACCCTTGGCCACTGCCCCTTGGCAAAACACTTGCCAACTTGTTCAAGATACTTCTGATTCTTTGACGCGGAAATACCTGTTGCCGAGAAAAGGTCTTCAAACTCTTCCTTCAGAGGCATCGCCAACGTACGAGTGTTGACTGGCTTGAAGCCACCCAGAAGATCGCCGACTTCACTCTGCTGGGACAAGTTGACAGCAATAAGCTTATGGCCCAAAGACTCAGCTAATTGCTGTACAACAGTTGTTTTACCGATACCAGTTTCTCCGACAAGTAGCACAGGTTCATTTAGCTTGACAGCCACGGCAATCTGTTCTAACAGCTTCTTTGCGTGCGCTGTGCTAGCGAAGGGTCGTTTGGATTTCTGAACTCGGTTCGACTGTTTCTTCTTCCGTAACACAGCACGCCCAATGCTGAACTGGTTGTCACTCTCGTTCAGATTGGGTATGTGTGTAGTGAAGTAGTGCTCTGCCAATTCCTTGGGTATTTGCATCTCCTCAGCAATTGCAATAATAAGCTGTTTGCCAATTTCAGGATCAGGGCAACTTCCAACAAAGCAATCAACAGCTTCCAAGAACATCTGATCGCTCGTTGTCTTGGTAATTGGCTCTTCTCCCGTCTTTGACCCAGCAACGACCAAGCATTCGCGTAACCGTCTGCTCCATTTGAGCAGATCTCGCAATGTTACTTGGCGATCCATAATATTTCGGCCTCGAGCCAAAGCGCCAGGCGTGGAGCCAAGACGACACAAACGAGCATACACTGCCAGAATGCTAGGAATAAATTTCCGCAAGATGGGGTACGTCTGAGCCACAACATCCTCGAGTTCAGACGCCGCGAGGGCTTGTGTGCTCAGAGCTTGCCAGAAACGAATGCCAACCAGGCTTGGCAAATTCTCTCGGCCATTCATCCCCCTAGATGTTCGCACCGTTGCAAAAAGCCGGAAAGTGCTGGCTGCTCGTATTCTTTCGCCTCGGCTTGGAATGAGTAGTTCCTTTCTTTCAATCAGGGGGAGCAGCGTGCTCAAGACCTCAGTAGGTGCCCGATCAAGGTCTTCCACCAATACCCATCGGCCTTCCTTAACGGCTGTTGTCAACACACCGGGCCTCCATTGGAAGCTACCGGGCTTCGAATCAGTCGAGTATAGTCCAATAAGCATTTTCGCGTCCGTCTGTTCATTAAGGTGCAATGTGACCATGTTAGAATACATGCCTAGTTGCTTGGCGATTTCGTGAACAAGGGCCGTCTTTCCAACGCCAGGAAGACCATATAACATTACTGGGTCAGATTCACGGAGCATAGTCGCCAATCGCTCTAGATTTGAGACAGTCGTGGGGGTGAGGACAAGGCTTGAGGGTTCTCCGGTTGGACCTAGGGGTCTGGGCAGAATAACGTTGCCATAACACACAACGTAAGGGGTGAGGGTCTGCGTGAGCGGAGGATCATCTGTTGCGGCCTCGTGAGAGGCCTGCACTTCTTCGCGCAGGGCCAAAAAAGACTTCACTCGAGACTGCTCGTACAGCGAAAGGAAGCCATAATCAATCGATCGCCCGTCGAAGTCTGCGAGGATGGCCTCACTCTTGCCGATGTGTTCCTGGATAAGAGATTCAAGCTTCCAATCGGAACCATGGAGGAGTTGTATAAAAATTCGAGTCGCAAGATAACGCACAGCTCTGCTCTCATGTTTAAACAAGGTCTGCATCAACGCAGCAGATGTCAATGGACCAAAATTGCGCGAATCGAAACTGATTAACCTCCAAACCACAAGGAGGCTCTGTAAGAGGACCTCTCCATCCTGTTCCATGGCATTTTGGTCTAACCGTAAGGGTGGGAGTCGGAGAGAGGGTGAGTTCGTCTTTGGTTCGGGGGTAGAAGAGGCGTATTCAATAAATGTTGAAAGGTAAGGAGCAAAGGGTAGAATTCGAGCTAACGCTGAGTATATTCGTATGCGCTGTTGTCCATTTCCAGGGTTGAGGATCCATCGAGCACAAATGTCTGGGAAAAGATGCTCGAAATGCGCAAAGATACGCTCTGTAAGTGGCGGGCAAAGAGCCGCCTCTGCAACAGCATCCAGCAGTTTCGTCGAGGACTGGTCTTGGATAATGGCCAGTATTTCTGCTGGCAGATGTTCCAATACAGTCGCATCCGCAAGGAGCGACCTCCTCTGCCGCGAGACATCAATCATTGCCATGATTGCGCTCTCTGTTGACGAAATTTCGGCTGTCGATGGTTTGTGGTGCTTCCAAGCTAAACCTGAGAACTGCTCTCTTGAACTTTTTTTTCGTTATCTTATCAGCCGCTAATAGGTCAGTACGCTAATCTGTTTTAGTTCGTAACCTGGCGTATGTGGGTTGAATTTACACTTGATTCTTGAATCAATCCGCCTGAACATCGATTATTCTTGTTAAACTTACAGTAAGGATTAGTAACTTGAGAAGATGTTCATATCATCTTTGCGAGATTGGTCGTAATTTATCGAAATATATTTCGTCGATCCTCTCGCCTAGGCACCTAGGTATCTCGCCTATATCTTCAACGAAATGCTAGCGTCCTTTGCTTCCCAGATTGGGTCAATCAATGGCGTTTCAACAATCACATCGTATTGTTTGAGCACATATATTGGACGATTCATGGCATTTACTTCTTCCGTGCCCCAACCTATACAAGTTTCAATAATTAGCATAGTCGGATGGAATGCTTCAATTCCAAGGATGCAATGGTTCGATGTAAGTGAAGACCCAATTATACACGTGATACAGCCGCTAGCCCGCCAAACCATCGAGACAGCTCGAAAATCTTCGAGACGCTTTCTCAGACGCCCGTCCCCGACGACTCTTCGAATTGAGCAATCCCCAGCCCACCGCAATCGCAAAAATGGCCATGTCTTGTCGGTACGCCGCCCAGAGCTGTGCTCGTCACCTCCGATCCGCTCGCGCTGCCCGGGCACCCACACAGCTCGTCAGAGTCTCAGCTGCCTCGAGGAGATGGAACTCAACCGATGTCGCTCCCGTCAACCCCAAGATCGAAGCCATTGTCGATCAGATCAGCCAGCTTACTCTCTTGGAGACTGCTGACCTTGTTTCAAGCCTCAAGGTTAGTGAGGATAATCATCCGGCTTTGATTGAACCTTGGAGTGGTTATTTTTGCCCCCGCATAGTTGCTAACTAGAACATCTCAATAGACCAAGCTCAACATTCCCGATATGCCCATAGGCGGCTTCGCTGCTGCTGCCCCCGCTGCTGCCCCTGCCCCCGCCGAAGAAGCTGAGGAGGCTGCTCCTGCTGCCGCTGAGAAGACGCTCTTCACCCTCAAGTTGCAAGGGTTCGATGCGCCATCCAAGGCCAAGGTTATCAAGGAGATCAAGAACATGCTCGGTCTGAGCTTGGTGGATAGCAAGAAGTTCGTCGAGAGTGCGCCCAAGATGATGAAGGAGAACGTCCCGAAAGAAGATGCTGAGAAGATTATTACCGCCATGAAGGAGTTGGGCGCCACTGTGGTTATGGAGTAAAATGGTTGGATCTCTGGGGCACAACGACTGGCGACTTGGCACGATAGATGGCTGGATTGCATGTGTAAAAACATCTGTACTAGTATCTAACAATATGTACCCTTAGAAAGGCTCATTCGGCGATGGGTTCTTTTGAATTATGATATCATATTGAACGTATGTATTGTTCATCTACATGCGACCTCATTTCTCATGACAGGTCGATCTGAAACTTCGCTACTCTACCTAGCCAGCCATGCCGAAAACGACGGGTATCAATACTTTTCTCTCAATCCCAATGCGAGCCCAGGACCGAACGCCGACCAATATCCATAAAAATGCAAGGTGATTCGGTTCCATTTACTGACGGTTGCCATTCGCTGCTCCATGATGATGCTGGCAATTAGACTGTATTTCCATCTCTTTGTGAAAGTCATCCAGTTCTTCGGTGAGCAGACGGTCGTCGTCTTCTCCAAAGTCACTCGTTTCCTCCCACAGTCTGTCCATCTCAGCATTCTCGGTTTTGGGGACTGCCCAAATGCTTTCGCGCTCGCGCTTGTGGCGCTCGCGGTCCTCCTCAATTCGTTGCTCAATTTGACGTTTGTCAAGCTGGTGTGACGTGCTCCGTCGACCTGCCTTGGGTATGGTCTGTGAGGGGGGCATGTCTGTCATCTCGACATCTCCATTTGGTGAAGCTAGGCCTAGGTCTTCGACATTTGTCTCACGTTCTTTGATGACATCTTCGATCTGACTGACGGCTTGCGACTCTAGGTACCCTTTGCCTTGGAGACCCTGCAACACCTGCACCGATATGTGAGCCACAGGTTCTAGAACAAATCTGGGGTTGCGCCATGATGCGGGGATCATCTCACCTTTCGGACCACTTTGACGTTGGCAGCACCTGACCCATCATCCGGGGCAACAGCATCGACGACACGGATAATGTCCCGTTGCATCATTCGAATGTAATCGGGGTGTCCGTCGCGTTGCGCCATATCTAGGAAGTGCTCGATGAAGTACATGATATTGGCACGTATGTTCATATTGTTCTGCTATGTTGTGTCAATGCTGAGTCCACTGAGATAAAATGGCCCGACTTACTCGTTCAAGCTGTTCCAGGATGCACGAATGCAAGTCCTCGTCCATATCTCTGAATCTAAGCGCATACTGTGCTGCTTTCTGAGCAGATGAAACTGACGCATTAAGATGTTGAAGCTGTGAGGTGAAGCGCATTCGCACTTCAAATGGGTCGGCCATGTTGAGAACGCTGGGAGTTGGCTGTGCAAAGTGGAAAATCCCAAAAAGATATACTATCGAAAGGCAGGAAGACTTGAGATACAAATAAAGGCTTGAGAATATCACAGCCAAAGCAAAGGCAGGGAGAGAGAACAACAAAAGGCTTCGGTATAAGATAGCTACAGAATGAATCGTTTAGCTGAATTAGGTGGTAGGTGAGAAGCCCAGATAATTTGTCGATGAGGTTGATAGTGGGTCTGCAAGGGGAAGGAGCTGTGCCACGTTGTGGCCGTGCAAAGGCGCAAGTTTGATATCTCAAAACCGGCGGGAATAACCAGGTCTCATCGTTCCCGCAACATTTCTTTTTCTTTCCCAGCTTCATCCCTCCTCCACACGAAAGGAATCGATCCGGCCCGGACAAGCCGAAGGTGTAACGCATGAGTCTAACCATAAGAGGGTTCCGGTGAAGACCTGTCGCGTGGAAGGGCTTCTGTGAAGCTCCTGAAGCACGCTCAGGGGCGTCAGATTCACGAATTACCTCACTTCTCAGGGGTTCACCGTTCACTTACACGGTCCAGGCTAGGCTTTGGGCTTGTCTGGGAGAAGTCGGAACCCAATGGGAGGGTACTGAATGGTTACTACCTCCTGACAGGGTGAGACTTTACCTGTTAGCAATTTGCTTTGTTACTTTTCTTGGTGAATCGCACCCGTTTGGAGAGCTTGTACATGGAAGTATCAACAGGCGTGAGTCTCAAGCTTACCCCTTATTTTGGACATCTTCCGTTTTTGCTTCGTCTTGACTGTGTGGCCAGGATGCGCATTGGGCAGCAAAAGCACTGTACTTTACGTTACCCGGTAAAGTTCAGTCTTTTGCGCGCATTTGCTTCTCAGTAAACAGGTAATAGTATTTGTTTATAAGTAGAATTTTCCCGCATAAATATGCTCTCTTCCTCCATTTCCCCAGCCTTGCTAGTTATCTTTCTTATTTTCCATTCCGTTTTCCCCCATTGCTTCCTCCACTAAACCACTTGGGCCCCATCCTTGACTCAGGTAGCATCTCCTCTATATCAAAGTTTTCCCCTCCATATAAAACTTTTGAATAATAAGTGGTTTTTTCGCTTTCATTTACTGCAAAACATCATGTCTCCCAACACAATGGCTCTCACGCCTTATGGCTCAAACGGCAGTACAGACCTCACCATGGCTGTTCTTGGTTGTGGTAAGTTGAAAAAAATGCCCTTGGTACCAGATGCAGGTCCTCGTTCTTCTGAGGGCGGTGCTATATATTTCTGCGGGTGTTTTATTACACAGTTTTCATCTGCTAACAAATCCAAGGAACCATGGGAGTTGCTATTCTCAGTGGTATCTTAAACTCACTCGCTGAGATGCAAGGACCTAAGCCCCTCCAGTGCCTCCCCAGATCAGGAACCTCAACTCCTGGCGACGAGGTGCCTGAACGACTACCTTCACGCTTCGTTGCCAGCGTTGCCACTGCTGCGGGCGCTAAGCGCGTTAAGAGCGCTCTCTGGGAGCATTCCTCCATTCTCAAGGTTGTCCATAACGACAACATTGGTGCTGTTCAGCAGGCTGAGGTTGTTCTGCTCACTTGCAAGCCATGGATGGTTAAAGAGATCCTGAGCGAGCCTGGAATTTCAAAAGCTCTGCACGGCAAACTTCTTATCAGCGTTTGTGCTGGTATCACAGTCGAGGACATTGAAATCGCTCTCCACGGCGCTGTCCCCTCCAAGGATCCAGAGGAGGATGGTCGGTGCCGCATTGTCCGGGCCATGTGCAACACAGCTGCCGTGATCCGTGAATCGATGACTGTTATCGCTTCTCCTAGTTCTCCCCTCGACCATGCAACCGAGAGCCTCGTTACCTGGATCTTCAGGCGTATTGGTGACGTTGTTTACCTTCCTACGCGACATATGGACGCCTCGACAGCTCTGTGTGCTTCAGGTCCTGCTTTCTTCGCCCTGGTGCTGGAAGCTGCCATCGATGGCGCTGTTGCTATGGGCATTCCCCGTGCCGATGCTCAGCGCATGGCTACTCAGTCTATGAGGGGTACTGCTGGCCTTGTCCAAAATGGCGAGCATCCTGCTCTTCTCCGGGAGAAGGTTTGCACATCCGGTGGCTGCACTATTGGTGGTGTCTTGGTTCTTGAGGAGGGCGGAGTCCGTGGCTCCGTCTCGAGAGCTGTACGTGAGGCCGCTGTTGTGGCTGGTCAGATTGGAAAGGGAGCTGATGGTGTAAATGGCACCAGATTTCCCAGTGCACGTTATGAATGAATGGATCATGACCACGATGATCGGTCAGAACTTCCCAGAAAGTTCTGGCAAGCATCGTATTCATGTTCCCTACCTATCTCAGGCCCCGAATTAGTCTCGAACTTTCAATCACTAGAATCGGCCTACGAACCGAAAACCGAGTCGAGGAGACGGTATGTGAAAGAAGACCGAATCTTAGTA